TTGTTGGTGGTAATTGCGATGGACAAATCTTGAAAGAAATATTCTAGTGTGTTATGTACTCACATTGTAGTCTGATTAGCTTCTTATTGTTAAGTGCTAATTCACTTGAGATTCCCCCTACTCTCCTTTTCGCAGTCTGCAGTGCTTGATTTCGATAATTTTTTGGATTTATTTATTTATTTGTTTATTTCTTTCCTTATTCAATTGTTCGGAGTTTAACTGTTTGGAGTGATTTTTTTGCAGTATTTTTCCTTTACTGCCTCATTTTTCGAAACTCAGTCCACATTATGACTAAAACTCTTGTCCAGTGGTGGACTTGGCAAAAACTTTGCCCAGAGGAGTCTGACCCTCTGATTACGAATGCCACTTCCGCTTGAAACGAAAAATGCCCGGCGACCCGCACTCAGGGTACAGCATCGTTGTGTCAAACCCATGAGGGGGGTCGTACTTTCGCTCTGGGGGGGGGAGTCGTATTAATTTTTTATATGCATTTTGTACCCCCCCCCCTCGACAACTTTTTCGCCGACTATATACTCATCGCTCGTCCGTCGGCGAAGAAGCCGTGGAGGCGGAGGAGGGGGGGTCGTGCCTGGACCCCATTCGAAGGGGGGGGGGGTCGTACTCACACCGACATTTCGCACATCCCATCCTCCACGCAGCACAGGACCGCGCGGAGTGGGGTCGAGTCGTAACGACGTCCCTCTGAAAATGGCTTCAATACGACCCCACTCCTAAAGTGTCCGGCTTGATGGCGATCGAGCTGTCGGGGGGGGGGTGGATATAGACATGCAGAAGCGAGAAAAAACCGCTGAGCGACGGGAGATAACGACGCACCACCCCACCATCCTAATTCAAATAACACTACAAATCCAAACAACTTTCTTAGATTTTTTTTTGTTTTCCAACTGCACTTTTTGCAGTTTTTCCGCATTTTCGGGAGATTTTCTTGCCTTTTCCCCAAATTTCGCTGGTCGGAGGGTGCCGGGGGGGGTGTAACACATGTGAAACAGAAAAAAACATGCGGGTAGTCAAAAGCGTGGTAACATCTTTCCGAACGCCGAAATTTCTTCAGGAGCGCAAAACCTCACCCGCTCTCTTTAAGCTGTTCGTGAAGAAGACAAAAAGCAAATGTCAAAAAAAATTCTCTTAGACCTCATACGGACCTCCGCACGTGTCGGGGAATTCCAACAACGATGATGTCGCGCCCGACCTTGAATAGCAGATCGACGGCAGGGCTCTCAGGACAGGTACCGACTATTTTCATGTGATTCAGGAGCGAACTGCCCCTTGGGACGGGTTTATAGAAAAATTGATGACTTGGCGTGGGGGACAGACGGTTTCTAGCCGAGCCTATATAATATTCATATACTTGTATTCAGCTGGGGTCACATTACCTCCTAGTACAAATTTCTAGCTGAGTCCACTCCTCGAGGAAATTTTCGATGAAAGTGGCCTTGGATTTCAAAGGAGGGGGGGGGGCAGTCGATGGAACACAGTTGTTCTTGCTCGATCATTACTAATCATATTATTTATTATTGATTATGATTTATTATGAGTTATTAGTATTATTATGTATGGTTTGCCGATTCTATAGTTTTGAAGTAAGCATTTCACTACTTCCTATCAACGTGTCGACCCATCCAGGGAGCCGAGAAATAGCGGCCTCTCTGGTGTCTCCATAATGTTTATGATGACAAGCCAGTACTAAAAGTAATAAGACATGTCTATGAAATAGTATGGATTCCATTACAGGTTTCCTAACAAGTATTACTATGCAACTTTGGCCTTTGATCTGAATGGCGATCTTAGATCGTATGAATGGCGGACATTACATGCATTCATGATGCTTTTTCATTGATTCACCCAATTCTGCTCCACAGCGCCTGCTAGTTACTTGTATGATTCACATTATTGTAAAGGTATACTGTCACTATACTATTCACTTGTTCCTGTTTATAAAACCTTTCCGTTGATGGTAAGTCGGGATTTTAGCATCATTAGGTTCTTAGCATTGTTGTGACTACTGCGAAAGCAAGGTATACCCATCTTTGTATCGCCTGATCAGAAATCATGTTCACATTTTTTGAAACTCTTCCTCCCTATCGATTCGAGTTTTGATCTCCCGGCTGTGCATTTGGTGGCCCTGCGGCTTCGCACCACTCCCTTCTACACCTTATTATGGCTACAAGTTTTTTTTATTAAAGCGTATTTTTTGGTTGCAGTTGGTAGGGTTGGTATTCGAAAGTTAAGATGTATGAACTGCTTGGCTTAACAACGAAATGAACCCAAAGGAAGCTATTAGAATGGCCTTTAATAAGACCCCGATAGCTGAGCTTTGCCAGCGCAAGGCGAAGAGTTTGGACGAGTTATCGCTTTCTGGTATCTTAACTACCAGCTCTTCTCCTTATCAGGTCTCCTTATCTACTGTGATCGTTTTCTCTCTTATACTGTTTATCGCAATTAATCGCATTTTTCCATTATACCTGAAGTGTTCTTGCCGCAAGCGCACCAGCGTTTTCTGGTTACTTTGAGGTCGCGAAATGGACAAATCCTCAGCAGTGACTTGCAAGGGTTGTTCAGTGTCCTCGCACAGTTATGGGAAAAACAGCAAAAAATTCTGAATGAAATTTATTTTTCAGCGTATTCCCCCATAACCTCAATACACTTGTTTGCTCGGGAAACTAACTTTTCAATACCCTCTGAAATATTTTTCCTCCTTGTCCCCAAAATGTGCGTTAATTGCCGCCTTCAGCTCTTCATCGTCAGAAAAACGCTTTCCACGAAGATCTTTTTTTAGGTTGGGGAACAAGAAGTAATCACTAATCATTTTCTCAATTTTCTTTTCATTTTTCTCAATTTTTAATCAGTAATCATTTCCTCAACATTGTCGAATCAGTCATTCCGGTCCTATTTCACCAAAGATAACTAGAATGATCACCCTCAGGGAGTGTTGTTACCTATTGAAATGAAACGTTACCTCGTGCATGGCTACCTACTTTATAGAAGAGATTGGTTTCCTGCGATAATCGTGTCTTCAAGCTATTGGTGTGAAACAAGGGCTCATTGGGCTGGTACCTCACCGCTGGAGATCTCAGTGGTGGTCGGGCTTTGTCGGGGCAGAGGAGAAGGTCAACCAGTTTCGTTCGGACGACGGGGCGTGTCAGGGAGGCTGTGTTTAGCGCTTTGGCAGCCCCATATCCACTAGTTGTTGAAGGAAGGTAAGCGATGACAACTGGTGGAAAACGACTGATAAACGATGTCACTTGCGGAAAGTAAACAGGAAAAGAAATAGCCCCACCCGTCTGCCTCGATACGTCACATCATCCACAGCGAATAAAACAGTATCTGGCTTTGAGAGAACTCCAGGTTTTTTTGAGTAAAACAGGTAAAACTCCTCGAAAATTGGTAGGGAGTCGGAAGAGTTTGGCAAGGAGTTAGACGGGTCGCGTAAAGGGGTCGTGTTGACATCGCCCTTCAACCTTTCTCGATGCTGTAACGTCTTGGCGGTGATGGCGTTTGAGACAGCATATTTCGAAGTTGAGCGAAACATTTTTTTTTCTGAATTGTCCTTCTTTTCGTTTCCTGCACTGGCCTATCGTTTCCCTTGTTTTTGATTTCGATGTATTTCACGATGCTTTGCGTTCTCATTTGAATTACGCAAATGGTTCCTATTTTGTCGGAGCACCAAACTTTCGATCTTTACTCGTACTCGAAAATTTTTGTTGTATTGTTACTTGTCTGTACCATTCTATTCTACGCGTGTTCTTCGATTTTTTCGTCTTCATTGTTTTCTTTGGGTTCTGTGCTTTGACAAGGGTCACCATCTAGCATCGGAAAGTTATTAACAGTTGTAACGGAAACATTTTTTTTTTGAATTGTCCTTCTTTTCGTTTCCTGCATTGGCAGGGGCGGGGCTCAGCTGCGTCATGCTACGGGTGAAAATGTGACCTTTTCTGACGTTGCTTAAGTTGAAATATGTTACGCTATCTCGGCAAGAGGGTGCAGGCGGACAGACATGACGTGGCCTAGCCCAACTGTAGTGCGGTTTTTTTTTATTTACCGAATTACGCGTGTGATGGCTACACAGGAGCAAAGGGTTCAGAAAAGAAAGAAAATTCCAGGATTTTGACGATATGTCAACGGTGTCCGCCGGCGGTCGCCGTGGTCCGCCGAAGGACTTTCGCGGGCCACCTAGAGGTGATCTCAGAATGGTTAAACCACGAGGGCGAGGCTACTCCCAGTCTGACGTTGGTGAACCGTGCATTCCACGATTTTCAGCAGTGGCCAGCGAGGTAAATTTCAATTATTTATCATGCGACGATTGATTTTCTATGAATTTTTCAGGGGGTGAAAATGGCTCTTCCTCCTGAGGAATACGGCGAGAACACCACTGTATTAACGGGTGTTACAAGTGAGCATTCGTACAGTGGCGACGACCGACCCGTTTACGAGCCTCCTATGGGACGTGTTGTTAGCAGAAGGTTAGTATTAGAGCTTGTTATAAAATAGGGCACTATTTGCCCTTTACTGCTCCAATCATCCGAAAACAGGCCAGTTTTTGACCGACTTTTTTCTGCCTTGGCAGAATTGGCTGAAATTTGTACCCTGGGGTAGTTTGACCTCCTGAACATGAATATCACATCCGCTAGGCACGAAACCTCCTGGCGCCCGCGCCACAGGCGCCGGCGCCAAAATACCTTAAATTACCAAATTCGCTGAAAACTTGTTCTCAGGGGTAGTCTGACCTCCTGAACACGAATATCACATCTGCTCGGCCTGAAACCTGCCGCCCGCGCTTA